CGCTGCGAAAAGTGTTCTCATGTGCTGAATTTTTAAAATACCTTCAGGTGCTGAATCTTTGAAAGAAGTGAAACGGCGTCTTCTGCAGGAAGATGGCTGGGCTGGGTTTTATTGTTCTTGCGGCAGCAAATCATTTCAGAGGGCTTCCCTTTGCAGAAAAAGCCCACGTGGGTTATTTGTTTTGGTGCTTGCACGATTTCGTTATGATTGTTGAACAAATTGTGGAGCAAGATGAAGCAACAAACCACCTTTTCTCTCTTTCTTTATAAATAGGAACATAATGGGAATTTCTTTGAATTAATCAAGGGGAAATCTGCCCGGGTAGTTTCTATATACAGTTTTTAAGCACGGTCTCCAGACTGACTCTATGGTTCAAGTGCAGGAATAGAAAACAAATGGAGTATAGAAATTTCTATATGACATAAGTACGTAGAAAAATCTACTGATCCAAAAGAAGCTGCAAAGGTGCAATGAAACTGATGCAAAAACTATCATTATAATCTTTCCATTATAATGTCTGTCGTGTTTTGTGTCTGTATATATAGCATACTATTGGTATTTTAAGTGCTTTATATTAGGTAGCATATTGAGTTGTTATATGGCAAGCTTTTTACCCACTAATTATTTTCACTAACATTTTCATGGATGTTCAGTTTAATGGGCTTTTGGTACAACACCGTGACAAAGCGGTAATCCTTGTTTTGCCAGCTCTTCCTAGAGCATTTGTGTCTTTGTCCCATTCACACTTTAATGGATATTTTTAGAGTATTGTCTCTACAGCCACAGCACTGCCCGCTGCTCTTAGCTGCGGTTTAAATTCATTTTGTTGCTTCTCCTCTGCTGAGCAGAAAGCATCCCTCTGAGGTTTGCGGTCGCAAGGGTGTGAGAAAGGACAGGAGGACCTCGTTGGGTCAGTGTGTTCCTGGGGGGGCTCCCAAGGGGATTGCTTGGTGTTTCCCCCTCCTCCTCCAGCTCCACGCACCCTTCCAGCGAGCTTTTTCCTCGGCGTTATTTGCCAAAGGGATAATTGACACTAATTTCTTGGCAGAGAAAAGGGAGAGGAGCAGTAAGTGAACGTAAAAGCTGCTGCCAAGGGTACATCAGAGACCTCCTTCCTCGTTCTGCTGTATCGATGTGGACACTTGGCTGCTTTTTCAGCCCTGCTGTGGTGCGGTCAGAGTGCCTTAAACGTACCACAGGTCATCTTGATTTATCACACATGCTCCTCCCTGGCCTTTCTTCCCTCGCGTACGAGTTTCCCATCCTCTCATGTATATGCTGAAATACAGATGAGGGGAAACCTCCTGTGTTGTCATCAGTCCCTCTGTTTCCGGGCAGTCTAGCTCAATAGGTTGTTTAATTTATTAACAGCTCATCCCTTAAAAACATCATCATTGCTCTTGGTTGGTGGAGGAGAGGAGGAAGAAGCTGGTCTGCCTGCAGAAGGATTCTGTGGAGAACCAGGACACCAGCCTCTCCCCATCTCTGCTGGTACCATGCCAAGGATGCGCTATTGCATCTACAATATCCACAAGAACAAGGTGGATCTAAAGCTGATGCATTGCTGGTCACAGTGTTTGGAAAAAAATATAGAGACATTAAAATGGTTTAACGAAGGGAAACAAAATGAGGTGCTTAGTTAATCCGAGGATTAAGCCAGCGCAGCCGGCCTGCTCTGACAAAGCGGAGATTTAAGAGTGAACCCTCGTGCCGTGCGCACAAATCCCGTGGGAATCGGGACAAAAGGGCAATGAAGCAGTGTGGCATCAGCAGCAGACACTGGTATAAGGAAGAGGGAGCTCCCACAAAGAAACAGCTGGACAGTGAAGAAAGGCACTTGAATTTGCTTCGTTTGCAGTGTAGTTGATATGCAATATTAATCTCCGTCTTGAGCGTGGGTATATGCACCGCTGAATTAATCGCATCGTGTTTTGTTACCGTTCTGTAAAACACTGTTGTGAACCCCTTGGTTATGAGGTTTTCTTGCTTTCTAAAATATATCATCCCTGTGGCTGGAAATTTCCGTCTTTGGGTGCTCACCACAAGTTGCAGGATCTTTTATTGTTCTCAGAAGCTTTGGGAAAGTCCAAAGCAAACTTCATAGGTAAGGTAGGACGGGATACGAATTTTCAAAATCGTGATAATTCAAACCAAGGGTACCCAGTGAACCATCAAAATCTCATAAATTAAATGCAGAAGGTTGCTGCAGACCTCTTTGTATGTGCTGGCTCTTAGATACACACTTACAGATACAAATGTGACAAATACTGGCTGAGAAACTGTATGGGAATCAAAGGTCTGAAGATGCTTTTTTAAGGCAGGTATTCAAAAGAGCAGAGTTAAGGTTGGATGTGCAGTTGGTTTGCCTTTTTGTATCCTCCCCGTTAAGTGTTTAGCCTTGCAAATTTAATAAAGACAAAGAAAGGCGTGTAGTGAATATTCTCTCAAGCAGGCATCCAGAACACCAGCGAACATTTGCTTCAGGGAGACGTTTGCTAACAGCAGGTTTAAATTGGAATTACAGGAATCCACCAGAACTCTTTAAAGTTATCTTCTAAAAGGGAGTCGCTTGCTGAAGGTTGTCTCTATGACGGGTTTCAGTTTGTTTGGAGGAGTGAATTGGGGTTTCGGCAGTCGAGGATATGTATTAAAGAAAACAATTAAATATATTTGCTGCCCTTTTGATACAAACTTCTGTTGTTTTAGAGCGAGTCGCAGAACCGCATTGATCCCAACAACATTTTAGAGAATAGCTTCCCATAGAAGACCTTATTTGTATTCCTCCCAGGAGCAAAAATAGGAAGTACGCCATGCTTTGTATTATATAGATTTTTCCCAGCCTGACTGAAAGCACTGTATTATTCATGCACAGGCTATCCATCCAAAGCGATGCCAAAACCGTTTCTCTTTGCATGTGGGAAGGCAGAAGAGTTGTCCCTGCGATAAAACCGAATTTGTAATCACGGTTGTGGGCACCGGCGTGGTAGTGAGTCCTCATTTAACAGCTCTCAAATTGTGGTTCCCAAAAAAGTGCTTTTTCTACACCATTTTGTATTGGAAAGCGGTGTTAACGAAGGTAGAAATTCACCAAATGTTTCATTTCTTACTTTTCCAAGTGATTGATGCAGTTGCCAGTGGGATTTGATAGTCTAAGTCAACAGGAGTGGTTTGGTTGGAGGGGAAAAAGCGTATCTAGGAAATGTCTTCTGCTCCACAGAAACAGATGAGGATATCTGAGTGGAGGTCGGTAGAGCTAAGTGATGTGTTGCGTGTTTGCTGTAGAAGTCAATAACATGTTTTACTTGAAAGAACGTGCTTTATCAGAAAAAACAACGGTCTGGCCCGGCTGTGAGTTTGCCCACCCGGTTCAACCTTGTATTCGCCTTCACACGCCCATGTGGACTTTGGATGAGTCACTCAACTGTCTCCCCAAAGCTTGGAGCCTTTTATGACTATCCAAGAAATACCCAGTCCGGGAGGCTTGTTAAGAGCTTTCCTTAAGTTCAGAAAGGATTTAATATATTTCAGATAGCCAGAGTAGATTAACATTAACCCCATCCTATGAAGAGAAGCTGGATTACCACTGCCAGAGGCCACTGGAGTGGGAGATGTTCCTCTGTCTCAGTCCTCAGACACAGCCAACAGAGAAGGCTTCCTCCCAAACCACGCTATGCAGGATACAGCCTCAGGCAGCATATTTCTTATTGTCAAGCAGAAGAAAATCCTCGAAGAGATTTTTTTTTAATGAAGGCTATTTTTATTTTTTGCCTTTAATGAATTCAATTGAGCAATTTAAAAGCATTTCAGAGGGTTTTTTTTTTGTTTTTTTTTTTTCATTTTTTTCTGAAGTGACAGTGAAGTCCTACAAATCTAGGGAAACGCTGGCAATAAAACTGCTTAGATAGTATATAAAATGCCACTGATGGGATTATTTTGCTGCAGTTCGTTGCAGCTATTATGCTCAGCAGCATGATTCCTTATTGTAAGTTCATAAAAGAGCTAATGACAGGAAGTGGAGATTTGCAAAGTTGAATGAAAGTGGAATGCAAATTCACAACAAAAAGAGCAACTATTGATGGGAAGAGTGTACCGAGGACCATGGTAAATGTGCCGTCACTTAGAGTCTTTCAGTGAAATGCACTTGGCTTCAGCCAGGAGCTATTGCAATTAGATGTAGGAAATGTGTCCTGATTTTCTCCATCCTAATGGTACACAAAAAGTCATGCCGGAGGAGAGCTCCTTTACCTGCAAAAGCGACGAGAGCATTTGCCATGCAAATACTTCTGGGACATACCCAAACAAGCTCTTCGTGGAGACAGGTATTGGGAAAGCTAAGTTTGAATGCAAAAGATGGAACGTGACAGTGGAGTGAGCAGTTACATACCTTGAAAGAACTTTTTCAGCTTTTTGGGGGTAGAGATGTTTGTCTTGGTCGTCATTTTGCACCAGGTGCTATCTCTGTGCAAGTAAAACAACGCGTGGACTGATATTCAAAGTCATTTGTTTGTCACTTTGTCATGATAAGTCACCAGGTTCCACAGGAGATTTCTTTCGATAGATGTGTGGGGGGAAAAAAAGTGAATCAGGGATTGGAAGAGCTGATTTACAAGGAAAGACTAAAAGTACTGCATGTGTGTTATTTATACATACCCAGACACGGACAGCACCTGCATGTCTCGGCAAGGTGTAAATGCTGGGTGGGGGGAAGAGGTGTGGGAGTTGCTTGGGGTGAAGTGTGAAACTGTGAGGAATGAGGTGAAATTCAGAGATTGTAAATGCAGGGGGAAGGATAGGAAAAAACCTCCCTGAGGTAGAGCTGGTTTGAAATGCAGAATATTCACTGTAACGAGACTTCACAAACTCCAACAGATAATGTTTTCGAGACCCGACGCTGGAACAGTTCTACATTGGCTGGTTTGACCTTCTCCATGGCATAACTGGTGTCTCCCCCTCGCTGTCCCGTGCTGTATTTCTGAGGGTGGCTTTCGTTTGCATTTCAGGGCTGCTTTTGGCAAAGAGTCAGAAGTTCTCATTGGCAACCTGGGAGATAAACTGATCCCTCAACAGGAGATCCTGCGGGACGTCAGCGACCTGAAGGCCTTGGCCAACATGCACGAGAGCCTGGAGTGGTTAGCAGGTCGCACCAAGGCAGCCTTCTCCAACCTCTCAGCCACCCAGAGTAAGTAACTCCCATAGGAGAACTTTTGTCTTAGAAATGGAAACCAGCATAAATATGCAATTTTAGCAGGAGCGGGCATCTTTTGTTCTTGATTTCAAAGTGGGTTTATGTCAGAGGGAAGCAGAAAGCAAAGCAGCTTCATCTCTTTCTTCCTAGTGAAGGCTGTGGTGTGACATCTGCTCAGACTGTGGTGGGCACCATGTGAGGGTGCCAGGTGCGTCACTTCTAGCATAAACTCTGAAGGGTCTTTCAATGCCTGAGCTTTTCAGCTGTCCCTGCTAATGACATTGCACAGGAGCAGGTAGCAGTGCTGAGACAGGTTTCATTTTCTTTAAATCATCACTAGATCGCTGAATATTTAAAAATACATATTATAAATTCAGTAAAGAAATTGAACAGCTTTTAATGAGGAATGCCCTAACGTGCATGTCACTGGGGCACTAATGCTCAGCCAGCAAAGGCAGAAGCAACCCTTGGTGAACCGAGGTGCCAGGAGAGCAGAGACGGGGGAGCCTGGAGACCCCTGCTTCTGCTCCTGGCTGTCAAGGATTGCCTGTGCTACCTTTATGAGATCGTTTCACTTCTCTGTGCTTCAGTTTTCAATCTTTCCCCTGGGGAATAATGATTTTTTTTCTGTCTGCAAAGTGCTAGAGACGTGATTAGTGTGGCTTCTCTTCTTATCGCTGTCATTGGCGCTGTCTGCCCGGCGTCACGTTCAGAGGAGGGTTGGGGCTGTGCCCCAGAAGCAGAGCTCGGCACAAACAGACCTCAGCTCTGCTGCTTTCCACTGACACCTTTCCACCGTTATTAACTCGCTAGGAGTCACCTATAGCTCAGCTGATATGGAGTTAAGCTTTTCCTAGGACCAGGGCTTTGGGTCTCACTTGCCTACCGAGACATTCCCAATAGCTGTCCTGTGTCACAAGCTGACCCTGGGGAGGTGGCCATGCATTTGTTAGAGCACTTCATATTGCCCTTAGATCCCTGTAGTAAAGTATTGAGTGTTTTACAAATAGTGAACATCCCCTGTTGTCTAGCGGCTGTATTAAATGCAGATGCCTCGGGTGTGGAAGGAGGCATCTGCGCTGTGTTGTAGATGAGGAGCAGAGGAGAAAAAAAACGCGTTGCATAAAAAAATCCACACAGCTTGGTGGGATGTTGATCAGGGGGCTGGAGCACCTCTCCTGTGAGGACAGGCTGAGAGAGCTGGGATCGGGATTCTCAGCCTGGAGAAGAGAAGACTCTGGGGAGATCTAATTGCGGCCTTCCAGTACCTGAAAGGGCCTACAGGAAAGATGAGGAGGGACTGTTTACAAGGGCAGGGAGTGACAGGACAAGAGGGAATGGGTTTCAACTAAAAGAGGGGAGATTTAGATGAGATCTGAGGAAGAACTTCTTCCCTGTGAGGGTGGTGAGGTCCTGGCACAGGTTGCTCAGAGAAGCTGTGGCTGCCCCTGGCTCCCTGGCAGTGTTCAAGGCCAGGTTGGATGGGGCTTTGGGTGACCTGGGCTAGTGGAGGGTGTCCCTGCCCATGGCTTTGAGGTCCCTTCCAACCCAAACCAGCCTGTGATTCTATGATTCTATGATCCCAGGACACATGGGGACATGGTGAGTATACATGGCATTTCTGCAGTTTGTCATACAAATACGGAGCAGAGTCCTGCGAGAACGTACCCACACAGGAGCAGGACTGTGAGCAGCCAGAACTTCTGAGCTCTTTTGGTAATTCACATTGAAAATCACCTCAGCCTTATTTTCTGGGAAGCGATGGGGGAAATTTGCTGATGCTAAATAAAGTCGTAGTGTTCTATCTCCATTAAAATAATTGTCCCTTGACAGCAGAGCATCTCTGGTTGACTGACAGTCCTTCCTATGTCTCATAACTCTAGAGCAGGGCCTTTAAACTCTTTACTCCAGCTGTCCACGGTCAGTTTGTTGGGATCCAGAAGGATAATTAAGATTATACAATCAGCTAGCAGTTAAAGACCCAAAATACTACAGGTGGTTTTAATATTCCCGTAACCCATACTTTGAGTTCTCAATACCCAAGTGACAAGAAGAACTGCTGTGCTCTCCAAGGTGTACTTTAGAAGATTATAAAAAAAAAAGTAAAAGAAAACAAAACCCAACGGAAAATGCTATCAAAGTTCGGCAGCCAAATATTTATCCACAGAACTTTAGTTACTGGGAGAGTTCTTGGGCCTGAGGGGTTGCGCTCTGACAGTCAAAGTTGTTAAAAATAAAAACATCATTTATAATTTCAGTTCTAGTTGAAACTGAAATTTTTTCATAAATCAATATTTTCCAAACATAAAAGGGCATGAGCGTGACTTTCAGGCTTCTGAGAGGACGTTACACGCAGCAGTGAATAAACATAAAAGTACGAAGTGTAATATTTCACTTGGCGGCATCCTCCTGACAATAAAAATTCATCTTCCTTTGTAATAACTTTATACCGATGCACTAAAATGTCTGTACACAAATGCCAGGAGTATCTGAAACAAGAGGAAGAACGAGCAGTGTTAGAAAATGATAGAGGCTGTTGACCTCATGGTTATAAATGAAACCTGGTGGAGTATATCTCATAAATGGAACATCAGTAGAGCTGACTGCAATCTATATGGGAGAAGTAAAAAGTGATGCCATGGGGCAGAGGTGGTGGTATAAGTCAGATGTATTTACAAATCCAGCAAGCTACGGTGATATACAAGGGAGTGCAATTCTTTTGGGGAAGGATACGAAGAATAAACAACAGGAAAAATGAGATGAGATGTCTCTTTCCATCCCACATGGGCAGGAGGAGAAGAGCAGTGCAAATGTGCTCGGACTGAGCTGGGAGGAGGAAAAATTAAAACTACCTATTGTTTCAAAGATTCATACAATGTTAATGCCGTAACGCTCAACTGTCATACGAGTTACTCTGTTCTTTTCGGTCATGGTTTGATCATCTGAATTTCTGAGCGTCTGATTGCTGGAAGCCACAGCATGTTAATGAGCATCAGGGGGAGGGAGGAAGGGAAACAACTGACCGAAAGTGAAGCTAAATAAAGGGCGTTTCTACCACATGCTGAAAGTCACCAAATTCAGACTCAGATTGCCGTAAGTGGAGGCAGCTTTGTCATTTCAGCATGGGTAACTTTAAGACATGCCCACGTGATACCCAAGTATTCCAGTCTGATGCAACTGAAATCCGTGGTTCATCATACGCAAGCCAACGGGTCATTAGTCCCCCAGCTCTCTCTTTTTGGTAGCTGACTTTGGGCAGATGGAAGTTGTTATATTCCTCTGAGCAACTCTGTCTTCTGCTTAATTTTTCTCCTTGGACTAGATACTATATAGAAGTATCTAGAGCAGTAATCTCATTAACTGGTTGCAGAGGTGGGGTTTTATTTTCCGTGCTTACCACATGTTGGGCCAATGCATGATGAGAACACACATCCAGGTCTTTGATCATTTCTCTTTTCTGTCCCAGAAACTTGAAATTAAATCATGGTCCAATTAAGGGCATCACCAAAGCACTCAGTGAATGGTTGGGACCGGAATTTTTGGTGCAATGCCAGAAATACCATAATCTCCAACAAGTCTATGACATGGTGGTGGTAGACCCATATTCTGTCCCTGTAGAAGGTCAGTAGCTTTTCCAGCAAAGCTTCCTTGGCTGCAAACAGGCAATTTATAGGCATAGCTATAAGTATTCTGAAACCACAAGGTGAAGTTGGGCGGGTATGGACATGTTTCGGGAAATCCTAAAAAGGGAATACCTGATGGTGGCTTTTTGGTTAGGCTGTCAAAAGGTCCCTTCCTAGAGATAAAAATTCAATAAACTTCTGCTGTGGATGTGCCACAATTATCACTCATTTAAAAACAGTCTTGCTAATAGAGTGTTTTATCATTGTGGGCAGTCTCTGCGTTCTTCATTATTTAGTGTTTGCTAAGCTGATGGCTCTTCCATAGCTCTTCCCTTATCTGCACTCCTTCAGAATTGGATTTTATATTTTCCGAACCAGTCAGATATGACAAAGTCATTTTCTTTTGCTCTTGTCTTTTGAGGGAATACAAACTTCTTTTTCACAATAACCATTTAGGGATTAAAGTTGCTGGAAGAAGATTAATTAACTGAGGAAGTCAAGTAAATTTTAAATGGGTTGTCTGTGAAAATGGAAGTAGGGTTTCCTCTCCTCTTCCTCTCCTGCTTCTCTGCCTTGTCATGTGCAGATATAACATACACTCATCCTTTTCCTTTGCCGGAGTTTCAGCCTTCTGAAGCCCTCTGACTATTTTACAAAGAAGGAATTATTATGCACAATGAAGGAGTTGGGACAGTCTTTGCATTTTTAAGACAGTTGCATGCCATGTGTAGGTTGGGAAGATGAAAGATTACCCATTAGCTTAGCGAGTTGCAGCTCCCCTTTTAAATTCAGCTGGCTGTTGGCATCTCATGACTTCAGATAGTTGTAGTCAGCAGTTAACGACTGACTGGCTTAAACATTGAGTTTGAAATTATCTATTCACAGAGCTCACGTAAAACAGGATTGTCTTTCTCTTCTAGATGGCATATTGGAAGTAAAGTTTTTGCATGTGTCCACATATGCTTATAGATCAGTAGATACTCTTGCATCCACCTGAAGGTTTGCTTATTGTATCATATTCACTTTCTGTATGTGCTTTCTCTTGTCCTTAATGAAGAGTATTTTTAATCTCATTTTAAATACCTCAACAGTTTTATCTAGGAAAAAAAAAAAGGATTCTGGCAGTAGTTTCAAGAAAGACTCCTCCTCTCCTGTCATTACCTTCTCCACAAAAACAAAAAAAAAAAAATTATCTCTTTAGAAAAGGATCCTAAGGCTCGTTATTTGGTCAAAGTAGGGAGATGCGTCCAGGAGCCCCCCAAGAGGAAGCACTGGGTCAGAAGGGTATTGAAATCAAGGCAGAAATAGGAAAAAATCTCAAGTGTTTTTATTGTGAGATGTTTGTTGGCTTTTTGTAGCAAAAAAAAATGG